CCCCCACCCCCCCCAAAAACAAACACACACCAAAACCACCAAGAAAACACGCTCCGTGCAGACCGTTCCTCGGCCTGTCTCACACCTGTGATAAGCAACGACCACGCAGAGCAAATGTTCCGTGATACAGAGTCGGATTTTACTTTTGAGGGGAACTTGACACTAAAGGGGAACTAAATTGAAAGAGAAAACGCGTGGGTCTGTGCGGGAAGGAGCAGTGGGCAGGGGTGTGTTTGTGCCGTCTGCTTCGGGAAGGCGAGTTGTGTGCGTATTAACAGTGACGCTAATTAGCTTGAGAGAGATTTAAGTAAGAGTATTCAAAATTTTCCCAGAATTAAATAAAAAAAATGTTCTCTGAATAACCAGACACTGCAGTTACGCTTTCTGTGTGGGCTGTGGTCCAGTGTGACAGAACCTGAAATGCAGAGGAGATAAACTTAAGGTGCCTCATCTGGCCCTACTGAGCGCTTTGCCACTCTGTCTTCTTCTGATTCTATCAGAAAAGTGAGCTTTAGTGGAGTCTCGTCGTACAGTCACACTAACGCAGCATCCTTCTACACAGCCTTCTCTGTTACACTGCCTGCAGTGATACTAAATCACCACGTTCATTAAGAGAAACAGATGAGAAAACGTACACAGGAACACATAAATGGAGAAAAACTGAGTAAAATTCAAGCTGCCGCTCACATTTCTCAACACCTACAAACAGTGAAATTATTCTTTTAAAACATGAAAGCCCCCCTTCACGTCTTGTTTCTGAAATGTTTCAGATGATGCAGTATGAGCGGTTATTTTTGGCAACTGAACCCTCTATACACTCCTCTACACTTCCTCAGGGATTTCTGAGCTGCCTTTTGCTGCCCCAGTACTGCGGCAAGAGCTCCGTCTTCAGGAGAGAGGGTACAACTCAGCCTTTGCGTGTCAGTTTCATCACAGATCGTTTATGCTTAACGAGTTCTTGAACTCGTGGTATTTGTTTTTCACGTGAAAAGGTGAATGTCCAGTGGGAAATTCTGACAGCGCTGACCTAGTGAGGACTTGGACTAAGAGGATGGAAACAGTGGATTTACATTAGAGCCAAAACTTCAGAATGTATGGGATTGATATTCTTCTTGCTTCCAGTTTTTATTCATTCATAGATGGATTGAAAACCTGTGTAGAAATTGCTGCTTGGGTAGACTAGCCACAAACAGCTGCCTACCTGTTCTGAAAAATAATCAGTTTGAAAGGACAGCAGCATTGGCAGAGCAAACAAAATTCTCATTAATTGGTTAACCCTATGTGCTTCGTGGGACTACACAGATGTTTAAACAAAGAGGTGAGGAGATCAGCACCATTTCGTTCCTCATAAGAGAGTCCTTAGCACAGGGATCTCTTCAGTATTCTCACTGTGTTCCACAACATGTCATTAATGGCACAGCCAATAAACATTTTAAGCTTGCCCAGCACTAGGTATGTCTCCTATTGCCAATAAAGTTTTGCAGCAGCAAGTTTTCCTAGCTTCAATGAGTTTTAATGTGACCTGAAAAGTTTCTAGCTCTTTTTATATTAAAAATATATATTATATTAAAAATATATATATATGTGGTTTTGCATCTTGATAAAGTCTAGAGAGATTCTAAGAGAATCTTAGAAACATGAAGCCTGCTCCTTACTCCCAAATGTACCCTCCTGGAGTTACTCAAATTGATGTAATATTATTATTTTATTAACTGCCCTTAATAAGGTAGAACTTCTTTTGGATGTAATCTTAGAAGGGAAGTGAAACTAAAGAACTGGAAAAATAAGAGAGGGGAAGAAAATGAATGCAAATTTTAGATATTCCTATGCTTTCCTATGCTGACTTAATATACTAATATACACTTCATTTGTCCTTATGTAAAAGTCAGGGGGTTTATTTGTTTGCTTTTTTTGTTGGTTTTGTTTGTTTTTTAAAGAACTGTCCCCCAGCTCATGTTTCCATACTCTCTAAAATGTGTTTTCATATGTAGTTCTTTACAGTAACTGTAGATGGTGATGTTCATCAACTTTCACATTTCAGAATGGATGGTAACTGAGAGCACAGCGCAGTGGAAGTCAGAACTTTCAGAGTACCTTAGTGTCATGCATTTTTTAATTAATTTGATTTGAATTCAATTCATTTTAAGGCTCCCGACAAGCACAGAAACCAAAAATTCCTTGAGAAGGGAAGAGACAATGCTATGAAAATAGTAGGATTGTCATTTAATTATCCTTAATATACTGAATTTACTTGAGAATGCAGCACATCATCATACAATGCATTACAGCAATCAAGATACTAAATGGTCTCAATTAACATAACACAAAGCAGAAAAATCTACACACGGAAATTATCTCAGTGTGACAGACATTTTAAAAAGTTGCAATAATTATTAAAAAGCTTTCAATAAAAAGTTTAAACACATTTAAGTTTCAAAAGAATATTTTGTACATTTTGGAAAAATATAACATTTACATAACTGAAACATAAGTTATATTCTTTGTAGTTAGGAAGCCTCCATAATTCATACATTCTCTCATCCATCTTATTTTAATACATCCTTTACTCTGGATTCTAAATCTAATGGCAAAGTATCACTGTTCTGAAGAAAAGCTTGTTTCTGCATCAGTTTTCTGAAAAGTCCATTTGGCTTTGCAAGTAGCTCCTCATGTTTTCCACATTCAAGAATTTTACCCTGGCCAAGGACTGCAACAAAATCAGCATTCTGAATAGTAGACAGACGATGAGCAATAATTAGGACTGTCCTCCCTTCCATCAGCCGGTCCAGAGCTTCTTGCACTAGGTACTCATTTTCAGCATCCAAAGCACTAGTAAGAAATAGGAAGCAGGGAGAGGAGAGAGAAGGTTACTCATTCTTTTAAGACAGGTTAGTTTTGTATACACTAGGCTTTTTTTTTTTTGCTAACACTGCAAAGCCTTGTTACTGTTGGTAAAGCTGAACCAACGGAGCTGCACAAAAGTTTCCTGGTGTGCTTAGTGCACACATCCAAGTTATAGGCATTACATATTCTCATATTCCAAAATATGCATGGAGAAATAACACTAAATTAATTCAGTGAAAAAAGTTATACTGCAGTATAATCATCTCTCTTCAACACTGAGATCTTAATTGCGACTAAAGATACAAAAAAGTAGAGGTTTCGACCATCAAGTTACATATTACAAATTTAACTCCATAAAAATGACACCATACTGTACCAGCTCTCCTTTCCAATTTGCATAAACAGCTTTTATCACAGGTCTCCTAAGCAATTCACACACTCTAGAAAGCACATTCTTTTTGTGGGTGGAGAAAAATAAGGGGCTACATAATTTGTGCATGGGCATGCAGAGAAACAAAGAGAGGACACCTCACATACTAGTGTTACAGACTGATAATTTCTGAGTTCCTATTTATTTTCTTTCTTACCTTGTTGCTTCATCTAACAGAAGAATTTTAGGATTCTGAAGAAAAAAGTAAAATTGGTTATAATAGCAGTTAGACCAAGTATATACATTTCTATCAATAGAGGACTCATACGGCTTTAAACTCCAAGAGTAAGAGCACTTATTTCATCAAAATAAGTGAGTGTCATTCAAAGCATTACTTTTAAGAAATCTAAATGCTAAGAGGACAAAGCAGAAACAACACTCTTCCATCTTCAAATTTTGCAAACTGCAGTAACAGAACACTGCTACCTCATCACTATTTGAAAGCTACTACAAAAAAAAAAAAAAAAAAAGGTGGGAGATTATTTGTAATGCATGCTTGGCAGCACTGTGGTAAAAATGTTCAGCTTCCTGTTTGCTACTCTTAGGTGCATTTTTCACCCACATATCAAATAAAAGAGTACTTAAGAACTAGCATTTAATAACTCTTGCCAATTAACTAAAAAGTAAAAAGTCACCAGCACTCAAATCCCTAAGAAGCCTCTTCTAAAACACAGTACATAACCCAAACTTGCTTGATGAAGTTGACAGTAAAAGGTTCAGACCTTATCCGAAGTGAGGAGACTCCACTGAACCCCTAATCACATATATAGCATCTACTCATGTATTTTTTAAAGCTTTTTTTTATTCTGTTCCCCCACCCCTCCCCCCAAGAAAGTCTCTACTCCCATTAACTGTACTTGTCTGAAGTGCAATCAGCTTTTCTGCATTCCTATAAAAGAAAACTGGTATAATGAAAAATTCCTGGTGATCTAGCAGAACTGGCCTTGCTAGGATGCTACAGAGATGAAAGGACCAGAGGGAATGGCCTGAAGTTGTGGCAGGGGAAGTTTAGATTGGGTATTAGGAAGAATTTATTTACTGAAAGAGAGGTCAGGCTCTGGAACACCCTGCCCAGGGAGGTGGTTGAGTCTCCATCCCTGGAGGTATTCAAGAAATGTGTAGATGTGGCACTTCAGGACATGGTCTAATGGCCGAGGTCATGGGGTTTTTCTGTGGGTGTTTTTTGGTGGAGTGTGTGTGGTTGCTTGTGTTTGGGGGTTTTTTTTGTGTTGATGGTTGGACTCTGTGATGTCAGAGGTCCTTTCCAACCATGATGACTCTGTGACACTTGTGTGGCTTAACCTGAATGTAAGCTGAATATAAGCAAGGCTCACAACTTCCCGCTAAGCACCAGTCCCAAACTGCCTCCTCTGAAGCCCTATGTCTCATCCTTTAACCAAACTCAATGTCCTTCTGATCCTCAGAAGACTTCTCAAATTTGCACAGCATGTAGCCTGCCATAAAGCTAGAGCCATGCCATCCCTTAAAGAAAACAATGACACAACATTGTGCCTGAAATGGCATCTGGTACCAAACCCAGATCAGCTCCCCTTGAAGCCAAGACAGGGCAGCAATAGTGCTGGTAAGCTGCAACCCAGAGAAACCAACCCATGAGTGCCAGAGATCTGAACACAAAGACTGAATTGCCATGTAAGAGTTTACTAACACCTTATTCTTAAAGTCTTCCTTCATGCTTGACCTGGACTTATGAAAGTGATCCATTATACAATGATTTACCATCAGTTGTGGCAAGAACTATCAACAAACGTGACTGAAAGGCAGGAAGAAGGAAACACTTACGTAAGCAAATGGTCTTCAGTTAAACCACTCGGCCCTTTCAAACTCCCTCATTAATGTAAGAGATACAATTTTCCTTTTAGAAAATTTTTCCACCTCTCCCATTGAAAAGCCTCCTCCTTTTTAAACCTTCCTGCCTCCCCACAAAGTATTTAAATAGCTATTTGGGTGCTGGCTCACCTTGAGCAGAGCTCGAGCAATTGCAATTCGTTGCTTCTGTCCACCTAGGGGGAAAATCTCAGTAAATTGAAATAGGAAAACAAATGTGAAAGAATTTTAACTGAATGCCCAGGCTGAACAGAATTAGGCACATGTCCTTTCATGGGCAAATGGAAATGATAGAGGGTTTTTAAAAAATACTTATTGCAGGCTATGAGTTGGAGAAAAAAAACTGGTAACAAAAAATAATATAATTTTTACTTCACTCTATAGTATCAAGATTTTTAAAACATATGTTTTTTAAAGACATACCTGAAAGCAGAATGCCTTTTTCTCCAACTACAGTGTCAAAGCCTTTGGGAAAATCTCTGATAAAGCCAGCAGCGTTAGCTATTTCAGCAACTTTCTGAATCTCCTCTGCAGTCACAGTAGAAGGATCCTCTGCACCATAGGCAATATTTTCAGCAATGGAACAGGAGAACAGAATTGGTTCCTGATAAATTAAAAATATTAACTAATATGGTAGCTCTGTATTTACATGCCTGTATTGTCTATACATAATTTTTCATATGTATACAGCATTCCTTTTTTTATATGTATACAAAAGAATATGTAAGCTAATTAAATAAAACAATTAAAAAACTCTCTCCTAACACCAAAATGGGTCGTTCAAACCAAATAAAAAATAAGTTGCTTTTTTAGCTGACAAAATGTTACATAACCTTCAATTTCTAATAGCTGAGGAAGAGTTTAGAAAGAACTATTCATCCAAACATCAGCAATGCCCCTCTTTGTACTCTACAATGTATCATCATTTGCAACAATGATGTTTCTTCTTTTAACAGTGTCTACACAGATTTCATATAATTTTGTGCATTTAATTTATGATAAAGCTTAACACAGAGGACTGGCAGATAGGACAAGTGATGTACAACAGGAAAAGGTCTGAAACAAGTCTGCTCTTTTTATAAAATAGAGGCATGCTACAGCATCAATACCAGTATTAATCTCCAACTAGTAACACAAGTGAAATACAAATACTCAGAAAGAATTATGCTAATGGGCCAACAGGAAGATAATTTTTGCACAAAAGTTTTTGGTGCCATTATTACATAAAGCAGATAGTTTGAAATGCAACATGCACCCAGTTATCCTTAATGCTTTTAATCAGAACATCAACCTAACAGTTAATTGCACTGTGAAGCATTTGGGGAGATGACGGAAGGAACATACATAGTTTAATTGATCAAATATTTTATTTTTCAAAGACCACTGGACATCCTTCTGTACTTTCAATGTCTGGGCATTGCTAAGGATAGGGCAATATGAGAGTAAGCAACAACAGTGCTGAATGTTCATGCTTTCATATTGGAATTGTGTTTGCCTGGAAACAACACAGAGCACAGAAGGTCAGTTTTCAAATGGTTGTGTAAAATATAATTGTGTAACTTCCATTAACGCAAAATGTGATTAAACATGAGGCTTTTTTTTTATTTTTCAGAGCAAACATCAAGATGATCACACCTATGCCATTTCTGACAATATACTTTCCAATGTCCACATGCACACTTTTCTTTCAAGCTAGTATTTGGAATCTCTGTGATCATGTAAAAACAGACTACAGAATAATGGAATTAGCTCAAAATAATTATTTTTAGAATAAAGCATGCACAACAGCAGTTATGAGTTTAAAAGCTGAAAACTGAGGCACACCTCATCAATTACACAAAATTATTTCATTCACTTAGAATTTTTTTTCTTCCTTACCTGACTGACTGTTCCAATCTTTGTCCTGAACCACAGTGGATTTAGCTGACGGATATCAAAGCCATCAATGGTGATAGTACCTTAAATGAAGAAACAGTAAAGTCAGGTGTGTTTGACAAGTACTGGAAAGAGGCAGAAAGAAGAGACCCTGGGGAATCATGTACTGGTGGATCAGAAATGCAAAGCTATGCAGGCACTACTGCAAGCTAACCATACACTCCAGAGGGAAGCTTGGTGCATTGATGGAATAATCGTATCAGGACCTCAAGCACAGGAACCCTGATGTTTTATAAGGTATCTGAGATGCAAAGCCTCATTTGTCATGAATGAGAGCAACACACAAAACATACCTGAGGTAGGATCATACAGCCTCAGCAGAAGGGATACGATTGTTGATTTCCCTGTACCACTTGGGCCAACCAGAGCCATAACAGAGCCAGCTGGAATGGAAAGGCTAAAATCTTTGAAAATTGATGTTTCTGGACGTGTTGGATATGCAAACTGAACATCTTTGAATTCCAAAGCACCTCTGAATGTGTCTTTGCCTAATATGATTCCGTCTGTGTGACAAAGAATAAAACACAGAAATGTGAACAGGAACCACCAAAAAAAATCAGCTCAGCACTCCTAGAATTTGATATACAGGCACATAACAGAAATATCTACCTCCACTGTAAATCTAGGGATAGCTGCAAACCACAATTCAGGACCACAGGGTTTCTATTTCAGCCATGACTGAATCAGTGTGGTACACCACTCCTTCCCAAATGCAATTTCACAAGCAGTGAACCTGTAGGCTACCTACAGCAACATGGAAAATTTGCATCTTGCTAACACCTAACAATGTTCACTTCTAGTGTAATTATCTGAAATTTGAAACATACTATAAACAATTTAAGTCTTGTCAATTAGGAGCAATGAAACAAAATGGCAATGTTCAAGGCCAAAGTCCTGTTGCCATAGAACAGATGCAAAAAGATAAACATTGCAAATAACTTGCTGCCCTTTCACAAAAGCCACCTGAAACACCCTCCTCTTTCAACAAGAGCAGTTCCCTCTCCACTGCCTGTTAACTGTGTAGCTTTTAAGCAAAGGCTATCACTGGATTAAAGCTGCTGCTATGTTTGTTGCATTAATGTCAACTTTGTATATATATTATTTATTTTTTTTTTTAAATGGAAAGGATGTTCAATGAATTCAGGAAACAGTGTATTCAAAGACCAATCAGAGGCATAATTTTAAGGCAACTGTTCACTGAAGATAAAATTTCTGTTTCTGAAACACCATAATAAACCACCTTGAATAAACTATTGCCCATGTTAAATAAAACTAGCTTCTTTCTGGAGCACAGCATTTGATTTAAACAATTACCTTAAAAGATTGTCAGTACTAGAAAAAGCTTATAAACAGGTTAAGACAAAGAAACACAATTTCTTCATGCCCTGTTAAATCCCAGCAACACATATCCATACAAAGCAAACTAACTGGACAGTGATGTTGCATTGCCAAAGGACAGAGTCTCACTGACAAAAGCTCCTGCCAGTTTTGTGAAAACTGGCAGCACCAGAGCAACACCCAGTAGTGCCTGTTCATGCCAAAGACATGCAACTCAAAACCCTTAATTTTTTTCAGATGGACCATGTGAGGAACCCCCAAGTAGCCACAGCACATGGTAGCACATGCCCGTGTTTAGTTAAACAGTAACTGTAGACAGGAAACACTAACACGCATCACTAGCAATCAAGATTTAACTAGTCCTGCTGTTCCTATAGCAAATAATTTATTTCACTTTTCTTCTTCCCAGATTCCTGCCTCTTCTCTAGGCTTCAGTTTAATGGCAATAGCACAGAATTGGCAAAGGCACAAGCATAAAATTTCAGACTCTTCACTGACTTTAATCCATGGACATACACATTGTAACTTGTTTGTTAGGTAAAGGCACAATGGTCTGTAAATCTCCCTTTGGGAAAAGAAATGCATTTGTTAAATCCTGTGCTAGCAGCATAATCATTACTATCATGAAAGTAACAAGTAATTGCTTATCTTGATTCTCTGTTTCAGTTGTTGTAGTGTCTATTCCATGGCCTGAAACACTGAAATCTACTGCAATACAGGAAGTCTGCTACCACAAGTCCTTCCTCTATATATTACTGTGTAAATATCTAAAACCTATATCCAGGATTGTGCTTGTTTCTTTTTTGCATTCCAGATACAAGAAAAAAAGACATTGCCATTTGTTCCCAAGATATTTGTTGTCACAAACAACAGCTGGAGTTCCATGAAAATAAAACATAAATAGGTAAGAGAGAAGTTGTTTCAAGTGGGTTTGGACAGTAAAAGAAACAGTCTCTTGGTTTCACTGTCTGATGAACCAGGAATCAACTATAATGATTTTTTGAAACAAAAGTTTATATCCTTTCCTATGTATTTAGTTTATACTGAAAGAAAACTCAAAAGAAGCTTACTGGAAGCCTATGCTACATGGAGGTCTGAAATTTTGTCTGATTTATGTTAGGGCTATAAAATAAATACCATTTTCTTGATGTCACTATTGGTATAATTGAACAAATCAACATTTGCAGTGGGAAAGAAAACTTCTGCCTCAATACTCATTCTGTACTGGGGCCACTATAAAGATGAAGACCACTGAAATAATGCAAATTTAAAAAAACACATAATCATATATAAAAAAAAATCATATCCAAATGATGATGAAATCAACAGTTGCACTAGGTCTCTGAAGGGCACAGCAAATCATGGCAGCAAGTTTAAGCTGGCTTCATTGCTAAAGACAAGAGTGTGCAGCAATCCCTTCATTAGCCAGCTGGTAATTAACTTTTTGACAAATGGCTGCAATTTTAACCCTGTCTCCATCCACTGGAGACAATATTGTTTCTTTTCACAGGCTATGTGAAGTCTACACACATTGAAAAGCATCCTACAGGCAGGCTTGCAGCTATCAAGAGAAATGAGACAGAGGCCAGACTGTGACTTGGTGTCCATCAGATTAAGAACTCGAGGAATTCCAGTGCAGGGAGATAAAAGCAGAACAGAAATTAGAAGCACAGCCTTTCGAAAGAACCTCTTTGTGTGAACCACCTCAAAAGATAAAACTATTCCCTAAAGCCAGAGCTCACTCAAAAAAATCTGTTCTTTTCCTACTCATACTCTTGCAGCAGCCCTTGAATGTTTCTAAATTAGAGGACCATACAAAACCTAGACATAAACTACAGTGTGGACAGCTCATGTGGGCTCTGCTATATTGGATTTCTTAACAGCATACAGAGCTAGTGAAAACTCATATATGACTTGCTTAGTGGCATGCAAACGATTAAATAAAAGAGCAATTCACACAGAAAGCATCTTCTACAAGCAGCTCATTGAACTACTTTGATGGAGACAAGTAAATGCTGTTTATACAAAATATACTCTATACTGGAAGGTGTAGTCTGGTTTCCAAACAATAAAACTGTAAATAAGGTGTTGCTGGCAATATATTTTTATTGACTGCATTTAAATATTACTAAATATTCTGAATTATTTAAATGGAAATAAAACCCACTAAATTTTCAGCTTCTAAAACTTCTGACTGAAGGAAATCTTCATCATTTGTTTCATAATTAGGAAAAGTCAGAAGAATTTCTACTGTATCGAGTTTCTTTCAAAAGAGTGTAAGTTGGTACTAGCCCTCTTTCTGAAGTACTGGTGAGCAATATGAGAAAAAAAAAATAAATCAACCTATGAACAATAACAAACCAAGGACTTACCATTAAATGGGAGCTGAGGTTTCCTTTCAATAAGTTCCCACAGACGGCCACCAGCACCTAGTCCTTTCATTAGTTCGGAATAAAAGGAACTCAGGCCTAAAAAAAAGTAGACCAGTATTCTGTATCCATATGGAATGGAAGACATAGGAGACATTACATTTGCATTGTACTTTTCATCACCAGCATTGAAGTATCAGGTATGTAGGGCATCTTTTTCTCTAACACTTTATAAGACACATTGATTTAAATTCTACCTAGTCTCACTTCAGAACTACCAATAACCCTTATTGACCATTCTTATTTACAGCTGTAAAACAAATCATTCTGAAAAAAAAAAAAAAGGAAAAGAAAAAGAATTAATCCATGCACACTTGTGTATACTCAAAAGCAAAGCAACCCTTTTTCATTCATCTGTCAGGAAGAACAGCATCCAGCTTTAGAGAAATAACCTTGCATCCAAGCAGCTATATTTTCAAAACCATTCAGTAGAACAGAGCACTCTGAACGCCCCTCTTTGTCAGGTAGGGTTATTCTGCTATACAAATTCCTGGCTGGGAGAGCACAAAACCTAAGACTGAACTAACACTTGAAAATCTACATAGATAATGGAAAATATACATAAATCACAGAATCACAGTATCCTAGGGGTTGGAAGGGACCTCGAAAGACCATCTAGTCCAACCCCCCTGCCAGAGCAGGGTCACCCAGAGCACATCACACAGAAACGTGTCCTGGCAGGTTTTGAACGTCTCCAATGAAGGAGACTCCACAATGTCTCTCCCAAGTCAGTGTGCTTCAAATATTACTGCAGAAAGCAAAATCTAAGGAAAAGGCTTGCATAGAGCACTGGGCCCCAGCTCTTAGCAGCTGTGAGATTCTCCTTGGAGCTGGCTTGGATGAAGGGCATTTCAGCTGAAATAAACACAGAAACCAACCTAGAAGGAAAAGTGGAGTAAGACACATATAAAATTACTTATTTCAGTTTTTGTGTCCTTCAAATTAGAGTAACCCATTTCAAAATCTCTAAATTATAACAGAATAAACATACAGAATAAACCACTTCCACCTTAAAGTGTTCAGAATTCTCTCAGGAGGGCAGAAAACCCAAGGTCTATGAAAATAGGTTTACTGGTTTATTCTTGCAGAGCAACAAGCGCAGCACAAGTTCATAAGTCTATAACTACAAACAGGGTATTTCTTCATGCTGCTGCTGAGGACTATGGGAAAGCTTGCAACACAAAGCAGTAGCCATGGTGAGAAGCTGCTTGGAGAAAAGAGCCAAAGCATCTATATCCTCGAGGAGGGCTCAAGGAAGAAGGTACGAGTCTCAGGGAACAACCTGAAACCAAGACACTGAAGTTTGCAAATTCACAGGCACTCATAAAAAAGCATTACATAATATGGACATCAAATTCTAATTAGAAAAATATTTTTCATTTTCTTGACCTGTCTTCAATATTTGGTAGAAAATACAGCAAACTGTTGCAACAAAAAAAGGCAAAGTCTCAAATTACGCAGTGAACTTTACAGTTCATTACATGAACTCCTGCCTGTATTGATGATGACACATACCGAGCAGACTGAGCACTCTGAAGATTTATATACTTTGTAGGCTTCAAGGGAGGAAGGCCTCTTGGGGTAAGACACCATTACTTCAGAGTCCCCATGAGAACGAGCTTTGTGCAGAACTACATTCTTTAATAATCTTAAGTAGAATTTTAAAGTATGTTTTTATTACAAATAAAAGCTAATTCAATTACATTTTATCAGTGTTTCTAAGTGCTAGCTATCCATCTGTTGATCAAATTTAAATTATTTAAGCAGAGAAGAAAGGGTTTCAGTAGTTGGAACAGGTACCAATGGAATTTTTATATCCAAGGAAGCAGGTTTTGTGAATTTTGCTCTCCAGCACATCTTTTTTGCTTCCCATGACAGCAAGCTTCATCTTAGAAGAGTACAGATGAGCTGGACTGCCCTGCTGGTCTATCAGAAGTAACAGACTCATTTTAAAGAAGAACCCTTATAATCAGTTGTCAAACTTCAAACTACCTTATCTTCATTTTTGCCTGTGTGCAGTAGTGACTACTCTGTCAAAAAGATGAACAGTTGTTTCTGGGCCAGTAGATTACAGAGTCTAGGCTTCAAGGAGGAGTCAGTCAGTAAGGGGAAAAAAAAAAAGGTTGGTAATTTCTGTAGTGTATTGCTGGCACTGCACTTATTCTTCCAGTTCATGACAATCTGCACTAAATTACAGGTAAATTCTACATGCCTTTCTAACTAGAGTATGTTTAGCACAAACCCATATTTTGTAAAAAATACCAGTATTCTTTCGCTACATAATATACCAAGTATCTCATTTTAGACCCAAAGAATGTAAAAGTAATATGTATCTATCACATACACACATTGAAAAAAAAATAACCTTTATTCCTTTGGGAAAATTGAAGGCTTAAGATTAAGTTACAAGTTAAGTTGTTTTCATTAACTCTTCAGAGAAAAAAACCCAACAAACATATGTATGATTTCCTGGGAAGATAACTTGCCATAGACTTTTTAAGACAGCCACATCTTTTAAGAGCTTCTTCCCTTCTGCCCCCATACTGACTGTAATGCTTTGAACTGAAAAAAAATATATCTAATTTCTCATTCCATACCTCCAATGCTTATTCCAACCCAGAAAGCATACATTAGGAAAGATGAGAGTTCACCAACTGTCATGTAGGCACTGCCCATTAGTAATCCTCCTTTGTATAAGACTGAGAGGACAATTAAGTTTCCAGAAAGGCCAGTCTAAGGAAAAAGAGGAAAAGGCAGAATTTGTCACATACATCTTATATTTCACGCTCTAAAATGTTGTTTCCGAATTTCCCTCCTAAAGAATTCCCATAATGTTGGTATCTTTTAGAGGACTGAGTTGAATTTGAACAAAACCAATTCTAAGGCAAACCCAGCCAACAGCCATCCAGCGGCACTGCACTGTGCTATCCAACAAGCATTAAAAAAGCAAGCAATTCCTTTTTTTTTTCTCCAAGATGGAAAGGAACACCAAACATTATTCTCAGCCATCATTAAAGGAGAAGAGTTGAAAGTCTGCCGTTATGTGGCAGTTTTAGAACACTATTAGGCAAACTCACTGCAAATTGTCCTGGAAAAATGCAATCCCACCCTCCCTCCCCCATCTGTGCACTTCCCAGCTTCCTTTGCATTGATGCTCATGTCATCAGGAAGCCAAACTTGTACAGGCTAAGGGTGGGATACGTTTTCCACTGGTTTAGTCCCCTGAATAGGAGGTATGGGCTCATACTACCAAGTAGTATCAAGCTACAGGGGTGTGGGGAAGAAACAGATTCAAGCTGGCTTTCTCATACCACGTGTATCTTGAGGTGCAGTTTCACGGAATCTTGGGGGTTGGAAGGGACCTCAAAAGATCATCTAGTCCAACCCCCCTGCCAGCGCAGGATCACCTAGAGCACATCACACAGAACACGTCCAGGCAGGTTTTGAATGTCTCCAGCAAAGGAGACTCCACAACCTCTCTGGGCAGCCTGTTCCAGTGCTCTGTCACTCTCAGTAAAGAAGTTCTTCCTTATGTTTACGAGGAATCTCCTGTGCTCCAGCTTGTACACACTGTCCCTTGTCCTATCATTGGACATCACTGAGAAGAGCCTGGTTCTGTCTTCCTGACATTCACCCTTTACATATTTGTAAACATTGATGAGGTCGCCTCAATCTCCTCCAAGCTAAAGAGGCCCAGCTCCCTCAGCCTTTCCTCATAAGGGAGATGTTCCACTCCCTCAATCATCTTTGTGGCTCTGTGCTGTACTCTTTCAAACACTTCCCTGTCCTTCTTGAACTGAGGGACCCAAACTGGACACAATATTCCAGATGTGGCCATTTAGCAATGCAGCAATTTAGACTGATTAAAGTCCAGTCTTCCTACAGTTTCATGTAGGTTCAATTTACACTCAAATAATTTACTCGCAGATTTGTAACTATCCTCATTAATTTAAAAATAATTGGCATAACATGGTTGGTTTACTTTCATCAAAATATACTTACTGCTCCAAAGAAGCCTGCCCGAACTAGTGCCTCTTTTTTAGCCAGTTGTAGCACATAATCAACTTTATTTGTATACTTCTCCATTTCAGCTACTTCTTGTCCAAAAGCTCGAACTGTTCTAATGTTTCCAATACGCTCTTCAGCTAACTGCATTAAAGCAAAGAACAAAACAAATACACAAAGACACACAATTTGGAATGTTCATATTACAGAAGATTTCATAATTAAACCAGCATCACTACACTGATCTCCAAATACATGCCTTTGGATATCAATGGAAAAATTCTCATGTCGTCCTACTCCCCTCCCCCCCTTTTTTATTTTCATTCTGTTAAATTACATGCCCAGGCAGTTTAAAAAGAGCTTCAAGATTACCTTGACTCAAGTGCTAGCAGAGAAAGAAAAATATAAAATTAGTCTTAAAAAACCCCTCTTAATTTGATGTGAACAACAAATAAGGTTACTAATCACACAAACTTGCAATAACAACACGGGGAGGAGAAAAATAAAAATATTCTATTCTACACTAAATCATGCAAGAATACCTGCACATATTTCCCAAAACAATTCCACTCATTTGATCAAAGGAACACTGGTAATTAATTTAGATTAACTAGTAATGTCCCATTTCAACTCAGTATTTTATTTTAACTTCTAAACCATAAAGTATTAATTCTAAAATTACCTCAATTGTAACCAATTAGACTAAGTTTTTAGGAGACACTGTGATGGTCTTACAACAAACAAGTCTCCCTTTTGTGAGTAAAAATATGCTATAAAAATATAATTTTCTTTCCTCCATTCCCCATTCTACCTGAAAATTTGAATAGAATACTAAAACTGCTCATTCATGTGAAGCTTCACACCTGTTTTACAAAGGTATGAGTTTCCTTTCAACTCAGGATGATGAAGATAAACAGAAAAGAGCTAATCTTCCTTCTGCACAGTCAGTTTGCAGAAGTCCTACACAGAACAACTATGGCATTTTAACTAGTCCTTCCTAGTTTCTGACAGTTTTTCCCCACTCTCAACCTGTGAGAAAAAGGGTCTCTCACTACTGTTTCTCTGATAGTGCTTTGCAATATTTCAGTGCAGTCTGCAAACACAATAAAGGCCCCTCTATAACAGCCTCTTTAGAAACAACAGCTTCCTTGATTTTCCTCCCAAATATCTAGGTATGTGCAGAGAAGCCTAGAGAAGTTTAAAAAATTTCAAGTGTCATAAACATTAAAGACCTGACAATACAGTGAAACATGGATTCATTCCAAGGAAGTATATGCTAGCAAAATTTTTTTTAAAAGATGGATCCATCTAGGACACTTCTGATGGCTTCAATCTCACAGTTCAAGAACAGTGTTGCTCAAACCCAGGTACTAAATTATACAGGACTTCATACATTGATTTTCTTTTTTTTTATGCTCTCAAGACAGCTAAAGCCTATTTTCCTTATCCTCTCCTACATTTCAAAATTCCCAAGGCCTGGTACCTCCCCATTATATTGTTATGGACAGCTCTTCACAAAGCATGGTTGCTCTTGAGATCTATGAGTAAGTGTTACTAAAGTTTACCTTTCATACTGTTCAGGTCCAGAACTATAGGCTCAGTATGCCTTAGGGCAATGAACAGTACAGTTCTCTTCAGAAGATCTGGAACTTCAGATACATTAACTTAAATATACTAGAGCACCTTTGAAGTGTCTGTTAAAAGTTTACCTGTGTTGCTTCTGCAAGAGAATCTTGGGTCATTTTAGTAAGTTTTCGCAAGTATCTTCCATAAATTACAGCCAGGACAGCCAAGGGTGGCACAACACTCAGAACAAATGCAGCAAGGCTAGGAGACACAAAAAACTAGAAGAAGAAGGTATGTGTCAGGGGTTAACATTCAGAATAAAAATAACCCACTCGAGCACTGAAGTGCAGCTTCTCTCAATAGTTTTCTAAAACTAGTAGGATTGTAATTTAGTGCTGCCATGCTTTCATTTGTCATGTTTTGTTTCTTCCAGCAAAACATCCATTCCTCCACAGTGTTTGGGGAATATATCCCACGGTTAGAACAAAGGGTTATAAGCAAAGGGGTCTGGATTTAATTTATAGCTTTCTCACTGGTTCTCTGTGTGGTCTTAGCCAAGTCTCTTAACCTGCCAGTAACCAGGCCTACTAGGAAATCTCTTGGGGATGCTGAAAGACATAAGCTATTATATAGCTTCTAAAGAGCTTTCAAAACTTTTTAAAAGATGGTGCAATACAGAAAGTTTAACTAGAGAAATATTGTACCCTACTTCTGGGCAACCAAGGAACAGATGGAGTAACCAGTGTTCCTAGCACCCACATATGCTCATAACCTGGAATAACGGATTTAATTTACTGTTGCAAAACCTCATGACTAATAACAACAATGATCATCAAAGATCCTGAACAGATTATTTTAGTAAGATTTCTTGAAATAAGATCTAATGTCATTTCACTTCATCTTCCTTTCTGTATTCAAAACAGAAAACTCTCCAGAAAAAGTAAAAATTTACTTAATTGACAGACTTTGTAATTATTTCATAATACTGTCTTATTTCTGTCCAAATTCTTATGGTCCACCTTTTAACACTGCATCATGGCAGCATTTTTGAGTAGGATGCCTTATGTAAAGTTATTCCAGTTAATCTATGGTAAGATATAATCTTAGACTCTGTTTTCTTAGATAAATACAGAAAGCCACAACTCGTATCAGTCACAAGGAATTAAAGCTTTAAAGCTTGATAGTGGAAACTCTTAACAGCTTCTAATAACATCAATCTTGGAAATTTATTTTATGAGGAGACTTTTTGCTATCTGCTTTTAACTGCAGGTAGACAGCAGAATTACCAGACTTTCATTTAAAATAATTGCCACCAATGTATGTTTTATTAATAAACATAGTAAAATTAATGCCACATAAAGCAGCAAAAGAAGTAAAGTGTTTATGTAAATTATCTGACCACCAAGGAATATTAAGTGAGGCACTGCACTGAAGCTTTTATTAAACAAGCTTCATACTTAAACATATTCCTTACTGACAGACTAAAGCAGATAGACTAACACTTGTAAAAGTACTCAACAGCAAATTGATATTCAGCACTGCCTTCGCTCACCTAGACTTTAGCCACAATCAACCCAATTCAATGATTTTCACATGAGGCCCTTCACACCCTGTTTTACCTACAACCTAAAATCATGTTATCAATGATTTTAGTATCTTCAGTAAGAACAGAGTTAAGCTATTTGCCTCCTATACTTTGCTTGATAAATCTGGGCAGCAACAGTAGTACATTTCAAACCTTCATTCTACATATTTTGGCTTTTAAGTAAGTATCAAGTGGCTATAGGCACATCATCTATTGCAGTGTAGTAAATAAAAGTTACTGTAGGTGACAGGTAAAAATACACTTGTATCCAAGAACACACAACAGTTTCTGGACTGAATCACATTCACACATTACCTAACAGAACTGAAACAAACTTGAAACTAGAAGTGACAAGCAGGGAAGAGACCACCCTACCATCATTCCAACCCCCACAGATGCTTGTGCTCCTGCCCTCAGCCCATCTGAAAGGTTTTCAGTCACTGAACGGCCCAAGAGGGCTGTATCTGAAGATAAGCGGTTTATCAGCTCCCCTGTTCTGGTCTTGTCAAAGAAAGCCGTTTCTTGCTTCAGAATAGAGGAGAACAGGCTTGTTCTCAAACGCTTCACAATCCTTTGTCCTGTCAGAAACAGAAGTCAGTCAAGCACAGCACAAAACACTTTACATAGACAGCAACAATAGAAAAATCACAGGATTACAAAGTACTGAACAAGTCATGTTACAGAGTTTTAATATAGCAGAAGAGAGTGAGCTTTAAGATGTCACATAACAGTAAATAAAATTAATAATTATTCCAGCAGACTTACCTTTGCACCTTTGATCTGGTTAAAAACCCTATGGATTCCAAGAAGATCTCAGCCAGTACCAATAATTTATTTCAGTTCATTAGATACCCTGACTCTGTGAAAAAAAGATGACTCTCAGTACAACATTTTGTTTCTGTTTTTACCTGAAGTCTGCATGAGGTAGACACGAGTAGCATTAGCAGCAGCACCACATAAAAAGATTCCACTCAGCAAGGCACACAGGCTGGTCAGGCTGTCAGTTAAGTCTTCACTGGGATTTGTATAAATAATATCAATAACTTTTCCCAGAAAGAAAGGGGCTGACATGGTAATGACACTGGAAACTGTCAGAAAGCCAACAGCAGCTACAAAACAACAAGAAAAAGAAAGGAAAATTATTCTGAATTTGCAAGATCACTAATAGTACATATTAAATATTTTTTCACTTGAAATTTCTATTAAGCTTGCAAGTGCCAGTATTGAATAATCAGCATTCTCTTAGACACGGTTCCGATGTTTTGTCACTGTATGTAATAACTGAGGCAAGGGGCATTTTAAGATCCTGAAAGCCTCTGTATATAATCACAGTCCTGGAATTGCTTCTCTTGTCTAGCCTTCCACACAACCATCCAAAAAAGTTAACTTTTCACAGATGTCATCCTCAGAGACCATTAACAGCTACCAAGTTTTCTGTATCTCACACATAATCCTTCAACTGCTGTTTGGCTTGGGTTTTATTACTCATGCTTGCTACCATATTAAAGCTTCGAATTGTCTATTTCTGAGTTAACAATGGACTGAAGTAAAGATCTGACCTGAGAAGTGTCTAAAACATACAATTTTATTGGGGGGAATCCAACAAAAAAAGCATTTGATCTACTTTTGACTGGCAAAATCTATATACATTTGTTTTGTTTTACTATTGTTGGTTTAAAAAAAACCACAACAAACAGCCTAAGTTTGAATTAGAAGTACATTTGCTGATGAGCAGAGCTCTGGAATTCCAGTTGCAAGATCACTGGTGGAACAACCTGTGCAGCTCAGCTGACGCTGCATGAAAATTGCAACGGATCAAGACTTAGCCTTTTAAACTTTAATCTGCAAAGAAATGTCTTGAGCCAAGAACGTAACTCCATTGTGGAAAGGCAAGCCAAGCTTGGAAGGCTAAAAGCTAGAAAAAAAACTGTCTTAATGGCAAACTGAGCAAACTTGATACAAAAACCACTGAAGCACAACAAACAATGCTATTTATACAGCAAAATTTTCCAACAGTCAACCCCACACTTAAAGCAACCATTCATAGGATTGCTGCAAAACTACTAGTAGATAATGCTCTAAAGGCAAAAAGACACTATACCGAAAATCCTGAAGTTGCCTGAATTTTCATTCCATTCTTCTTAGCTTCCTGTATCACTTCTATTATGAAGACAGTAGAGAGCCTCCCAGCAGAACACTGCTCTAAGCAGTATTTTCAACATCTGGCACAGGTGGTTTGATGCCTCTTACCACCTCCCCTCACAGTCGCGGAAAGCTTTGTTTCAGTTTTCACTTTACATGTAAATGCAGCTGTGCATTTATGATGAAGAATTCAGGGCCCAAAAAATTCATACCTGCCACCACCTGCCAGAGCAGTCCTGGGAGAGCTCCAGACACTGCCCAAACAAGCTTCATGGTCTTTCTGATGTGTTACACTCTGGCCAGCAAGAATGTGTAAGATAAAGCACTTGGATCTTTAACTTGAAGCTAAAGAGACTATAAGAAGACAGACCAAAAAAAGGGAAAGACTTCCTGCTGCAGACATGTGATCCATGCCACTGTCATCTCATAAGCATATTATTTGCTACCTAAAACTTCGTAAGAATGAGTGGCCTTATTAACAGGCTGGCTGCATTGGTTTATTCAAGCTGTGAAGCAGCAGGGAAAAGACCCAACAAAAGCTAGGTCATCTCCTGTCAGGAAAAGATGATCTATAAGGCAGCTGGAGATGGTCAAAAGCATTTCTTATAAGCACAGTGCTGCATGACAGCTCAGTCTCCACTAATCCAGACAATTTCTCAGTTACGGATGAAACTGGACATATGAACTGCATATATAAATATTCGCTGAAAAAAGAGGGCTGTTCAGCTAAAAATCCCATATGGTACAGCCTCCCTGATTTAGATTTACCTTCAGCTCTTTTTCATTCAAACTACTATGAGTTTCACTGTAATTACTTCCAAGAGCCTTAGCTGAACTAGAAGCAAATGGCAGTACATAAACCCATCTGAAGACTACTAAACTAGTCAAACACTAGACAAAGTGTCAATAATGTATTGAAACAATGCAATCTTGAATCTGAAAGCTTATGTAATCCAGATGTCACTTTTAATTTTCCCTTTAAGCAATACACCTGTCTTTATTAATTTAATCACAAATCACATGCAAAATAAGGTTCCCTAACTGAAATTAACTTCAATTATACCAACAGAACAATCAGAAAATAGCAGACACCAAGCTGTGTCTCTTTTTCCTTTGTCTGTTTTACACTCTGTGTGTTTTAAGCTAATAGAATGAGTGTTTACTGATTCCTATTTCTTCAATCTCCTCATTTGAAGAAGAGTTGTCATTGCCATAACTGGCTAAAGGGAGAAATACAATGTGTTCAGCAACCAGATATGAAGACAGATGAATTAAAATAGTTCAAAACAGTCAGGGATGAAGGACAGAAAAATGAGGTAATGATGACGTTTGGCAGTCCATGGTAAAACAGCAACAGGACACAATACCTAGTTTCTACTATTCACTAAGTTAATGAATATTACCTCCCAGGATGTTGTAAGTATTTTACTGTTTTAATTTGAAGATCAGACCTAGCAGATCAGAAAACAAGCTTTAGATTTGTGAGAAGTACTCTTCTGCCAGCAACCAAGAATGTCTCTCCTTTTCCAGTTACCTGTACAGTTCTAATGCACAGTGACTTTTTTAGCCTGACACTGAATTTCCAAAAGGGCATTTGGAGTGACAAATAAAGTCCACTGCATTCTATCCTGTGGACAGGGATTAGGCTCTTCACTTGCTCTTTTATGAGAGAAAGATACACTTTTTTTTATTTTATTGGCTAGGTAAATTCCATTTCTGTTTGGTGAACCTTGTCCCACAAAGAATTAGTTCTGGATTAATATAGCGAGGTTAAAGGACTCGTATCAACCCTGCACAGAGCCAGTTCCACATTATTTATTTCAAGATAGAATCTTCTTGCAGAGTACACTGTAAGCACTGAAGGATGTTCTGTAGCCTGTAGGCTAGGTATGACTGGTGTGGTGTTAGTTCTGTGTTAAATTAATACATGATATCTGGACTGCACTTATTATTATGTAAGAACCTTTGAGAATCATCCTTTATTAAGAAAAACAGAAATGCTGTGCTCGGAAAAAAATACAGCCATATACTGCATTCCTGGTGCATTTTGGAAAACTGCTAGCTTTTTGACTGGAGTTGTCTTAATTTGTAGGTATTGTCAATATACTGAATCTTGCAAGTTACTATTTCCAGTGATGATCACAGTTTTTAGAAAATGTTTGCAGGAGTATTCTATAGGCAGTTTGACCTGGTTATTGAATCAGTGGTGTTTTTTTCTTTTATTATTTTTATAAGCATAAAAGAGCAGTTCAGTTTTTCAAATGGCAAAGACTTTTTTTGGTACAACTACAACACAGTTGCACAACGCACTGAAAATATCTTCAAGACAACTCAGGAAAAAGCTGGCATACTGTGGGTCATCTGACTGACCAGGATTATACAAGAGTTTGGAGAAATTAACAGTTGCAGGAAATGGCTGTAGGACAGAATTAAACAAGAGACAAACAACACCTTTGAGATAGTATCTCAAGAACGAGACCAGTGTCCAGGGTTTGGAGGGCACAGCAAGATGCCAGCACAGAAGCAAGTCCCAGAGTATTGGCTGGTGGCATCCCTCATGCTCAGAACATCTGCATGATGCAACTTACTGAAGAAGTCTACCACTCTGAAGCATGTCTGCTCTTTGAGTCACAAGGTGTCAAGGATTGACAGAAATCACCCTCAGCGCTTCCCAGTGAGGTTCCCATGAGCAAACAGGACAGACGTGCCAGGAGTCCTTTGCTATGGACCAAATAAAAATACCAAGGAGCCTTTGCAGAGCAGACTACAGAAGGCTTGTCACAAGAGCTTTCACAGCTCCTGTTGTTAATTAACAAGAGGAGTGTCCATCCAGACAGAGCAGAACACAGTGATTTGAGGAAGCCAAATAAAGGTAAGAGCAAATAAGACTGACACTTTGCATAGGAGGGAAGAAGGAAGAGGTACCAAGGCACACAGCCTGATGGAAGGCCTCCAAAGAGCTGTGCAAAGCCTCCACTTGAAGCAAAGGTGGAGGCTTGACTCCAACTGTAAGCAAGGATCTTCACTCTCAGGAAAGATGGCATTGCTATTTTACGAGCTGGCATTAGCAGTGCTGCAAGCTAGTCTTTTGAAGACATTCCAAAACCAGCTTGTCACACACGCGCCTGTTTAAGAACCCATTTACATTCTTTCTTTTTTTGCCATTGTGGAAAATATTTGGATAACTCATGACCCACGCACAAAATGTAAAAGCAAGTCAGGGTGGGGGGGAAAGAGGAATGCTGTCATTTTTACTTCTAAAAGCTTACTATCCCATCAAAACCCACAATAAATACAGATACAGCAGAAGTGTAGAGTTCACTCAGAAAGTAGGAAAGCACTACTTATTTCTGTATTTTATCACAACATGTTAAAATAACATAAGCCATTACTTGTGCACTCACAGAATTTAGTTGCAGATACTTAAAAAAACAGAATTCTTTTCAAAGACAAAGTATTTTCAAATTTCTGTTGTATTTTCTGGATATTTATTTTCCTCAGCCATAAAAATCAGCCAAGTTTCTAATCATCAAAAGGTGGAGAGCAATAAAATAACTCCGGTTTGCAGGAGGATGTACAGCTTCTTTTTTTACCATATGTTTAAAATGAAAGCATTTAACTTGCTTACGTTTCTCTTCTGTAGAAGACAGTCTTTATTTAAGACCAATCTATTATTCCTTGTCTTCACAATTTACACAAATAAGCAGCACAGAAAAAACTTTCCATGGACAAGTTGTAAGCACCTAACTGAGCACAGTGGTCAGCAGCTACCATTTCTGCAATGCCTTGACTAAGTAGCTTCATTTACCGTTTACCACCAATGTAAAATAGGGAACAATTTTATCAACCACAGAAAGCACACTTTTTGTGATAAAGCTGCAAGGCTGCTTGGACATTTTGTGAACTTCATATCAAACACTGACAAAATCAGCAGAAAAACTTGGGAAAGGGAACAAAAAACATGCAGCCTATTTGATTTCTAAAAAAGGCACATTGCACGTGAGAAAACAACCAGTCACTTATCCCTGTATATACTATACATACAGGAATTACAATTTTAAAGCCACAAGAATTGCCTTAAGAAAATTCAAGTTATGTTTGGTTGTTGAGTTGCTTTCAGATGAGCAGAACCACCTTACAGAGTAACAAAAAAACAGTGATCAGATACATAGACTCTAGAAGTAAACCCAAATTTTGCCCCAGAATTTCCCAGCTTCTGGGTGACAGCACAGGAACAGCAAGATTTATAACCCTGGAGTTCAATCCAATGTTCCAGAAAGATGGGTATTCTAGTGCCTGCAAGCTTGTTTCCCCTTCTGCTCCTGCTAGCTTCCTTCTCATTGTGCACACCACAGAATTTGACTTGCTGTCAAGGTTGGAATGGGTGTATGAAAACTGATTCTTCAGAGATGCCACTTGTCTAACTTTTAATTAATTTTTAAATGGAGGGGGGAGGAAGATATCCTTAACAGCATGTGGATTGCCTGATGATGTTCACATTCATGCCACAAAGCTTGCAAGAGCAAGTTTCAAAATTAAACCATTTAAGTGTTACTACAAACTAAATATGTATTATCTGTCTGATTCAATTTCCTAAAATAACTGAAGTTTTCAAAGATACTCCTACTCCAGTACTTGATGCAAGAAATGTCAGCTTGTAGAAGTATAAATAACCAAAAGCCTGACTTTACTGTAGCAACACTCACAGCTGATGCATGCCACATTTTTATCTGCATCTTGTACAAAAAAACCCAAGTTGCTCACTACCCCAACCACCCCAAATCAAATAAATTATTGAAATAGTTTCTGAACTACAAAGACAAACTAAAAAATTCAGGCAGTCTTAGGTACAACACTTTGATTTTTTTTTTGTTACATTGCCTTTCTGTAAGAATTGTTTTTGTATATACATGTATTGCTTATTAAAACTACAAAAGGTAAATCTACAGCAACCCAGTGTTTCTCATTCAATGATGAGAAAATACATCACCTGGTGTACTTTAAAGTACAGGAAAAATCAGAGTATGAACAAGGCAGTGCGATTCTGATTTTGTGGCAAATTTTAACCTATAGGAAAACAGCTATTACAAATTATGCCAAAATTCTAAAATAAAACTTCTGAAATAACATTTCTTGCACATCTCTGGAGGAGACCTGTGTACAAAACAAACTTTCTTACTCAATGCGCAGGAAGCGTTATACAGGAAAAGAGCATAATTTGCTATTGGATTAAAAATTTCAGAGTTCCTTGAGCTTACTTTACAATTCAATAG